GACCCCTCGCCCTCCCACCCCCGCCCGGCGCCCTCAACTCCCGATGCCCCGCCTGCTCCCTCGGCCTGACCCCGTTGCCCGTGGCCCCCTCCCTCCTCCTGGGCCAGGCACCGGCATCTCGGCCCTGCACTCCCGTGGGCCTGACTCAGGCCCCTGGCCTTGACTGAGCTCCCCGAGAGTGTCCAGGGGACCCCAGAGTCTCTTGAGGCCCAGGCCCGCGTCCCAGCTGCATCTGAACGACAGGCCTCAGGAGCCCCCCTCCCTAAGCTCCCCTCCGAGGGGGCTTTTCGGTGGAGGATGAGGCAACAGTCTGGAGGTTAGAGAGTCCCCCCTTAGACGGCTGTTCCGAAGGATGAACGGGGGGGGTGTGCCGTCCCAACTCCCCAGGCTGAGGATGCCGTCTCCAGAGACCACACCCCACTGGGGATCTGGACACCGCTCCCTCCCCCACCGAGGACAAGGGCTTGACTCCCAGGCTCCCGCAGGCTCCTGGATACCTCGAGCTAGCAGCAGGGCTGGGGCTGGGGGAGCAGGTGGGAGTGAGAGGGGCGTGGAATCCATGAATGCTTATCTTGTCATTTTCTCTTCTATTGGCCAGTCCACCGGTCCAGGAGAGCAGGGGCTCTGTCCAAGGTCTGACGCACCCCCACCCCCACCCCCGCCCTTGACCCGGTCTGGCAGAGAAGGTTCTCAGTGTGCTGGGTGAAGACACAGCCAGTTTCTCACCCCAGGGCTCAGCCGATCTTTCCCCATGAATGTGGCACCTAGAGGGGGCGTGTGTGCCCATTCATCCCATATATCCTGCCTTCCAGCCACCCTGCACCCAGAGCCGCCCCGGCCTCTCCTGTCCAACCTGCTGCCCTGCTTTGAAATGCTCTCCTGTCCACACGATCTCTAGGCAGTCTGGCCACGTGCCCGGCTGAATTGTAATGATCGGATTGTCTGATTCTCCTTCCCAGGACAGAAAGTGGGTCCTATTGGTCTTTGTGCCTCCAGGGTCCAATATAGTGCCTTCCCCCAGCCAATCATTAAATATCTGTGGGTGGTTGCATGCATGCCCCATGACTTAAAAATGAGCCACAGAGACTTTCTGGAGAGTCTTACAAACGTTGAAAGAATGCAGCTTCTGGGGAATAGTACTTGAAGCTCAGGTTTTGTAGGAAGGAGCCCTGGGAATCAGATCCCCACCCCGGGAATGCTCCATTTGATAATAATAACAGCAACAGGCTGGGTGCGGTGGCTCACGTCTGTAATCCCAAGACATTGGGAGGCTGAGGCAGGAGGATCGCCTGAGCCCAGGAGTTTGAGACCAGTCTGGGCAACATAGCGAGACTTCGTCTCTACAAAAAAAAAAGAAAAAGAAAAAAAAATTTTAAATTAACCGGGAGTGTTGGCACACACCTGTCGTCCCAGCTCTTAGGAGGCTGAGGCAGGAGGATTGCCTGAGCCCAGGAGGTGGAGGCTGTGGTGAGCCGTGATCCTGCCACCGCATTCCAGCCTCTGCGATAGAGTGAGTCCTCAGCTCAAAATAATAATAACAGCAACGAGTGCCTTATGTGCCAAGCACTAAGCACTTTAAAGGGAGTGGCTCACTGATTCCTCGCGACGACCTGGAAAATAAGTGCTATACACCCCTTTTTAAATTTTTTACTTATTGTAGAGATGAAGTCTCGCCATGTTGCCTAGGCTGGTCTCTAGCCCATGGGCTCAGGCAATCCTCTCGACTCCGCCTCCCAAAGTGCTGGGATTATAGGCGTGAGCCACCACGCCTGGTTTATAAACCCCATTTTACAGATGAAGAAACTCTGGAGCCCTCCTTCCCTTTTTTTTTTTTTTTTTTTTTTTTTGAGTCAGAGTCTCACTCTCACCCAGGCTGGAGCGCAATGACATGCTCACGGCCACCGCAGCCTAGACCTGCTGGGCTCAGGCAGTCCTTCCACCTCAGTCTTCCAAGTAGCTGGAACTACAGGCACTCACCACGAAACCTGGCTCATTTTTTGATTTATTGTAGAGACAAGGTTCGCTGAATTGCCCAGGCTGGTCTAGAACCCTGGGCTCAGGCAGTCCTCTTGCTTCAGCTTCCCAAAGTGCTGGGATTACAGGTGTGAGCTACTGCGCCGGGCTGGAGGCCTCCTGGGGCTTCTAGCCATGCGTGAAGGGGAGCGAGCAGTCTGGAGGTCAGAGGGTGACCCCCTTAGACAGATGCTGAAAAATGAGGGAGAAGATGTGCAGTCCCAACCTCCAGGCTGAGGATGCCATCTCCAGAGACCACACCCTGCTAGGGATCTAGAGTCTGCCCCTCCCCCCACCAAGGACAAGGTCTTGACTCTCAGGCTCCCGCAGGCTCCTGGATACCTCAAGTTAGCAGCAGGGGTGGGGGTGGGGAAGCAGGTGGGTGTGAAGTCTCTATTCCCCCGCTGGTTGGTGACGGAGTTGGCCAGAGCTGTCGAACTCACTGCACTCTAGTTTCGCAGCTTTTACTTGGCAGATGCAGGGGGGATGGACGTAAATGCACCCTCAAAGACTCAAGGCTGGCCAGGCACTATGGCCCACGCCTGTAATCCCAGCGATATGGGAGACTGAGGCAGAAGGATTGCTGGAGGCGAGGAGTCTGAACCCAGCCTTGCCAATATGGCAAGACCTCAAATATATAAAAAAAAATTTTTTTTAATTTTGTTCTGAGTCACATGTGAGGGGGAAAAAATGTTTTATAGAATAAATAGGCAGGGCACGGTGGCTCACGCCTGTAAACCAAGCACTTTGAGAGACGGAGGCAAGAGTATTACCT